AAAGAAATTATTGTTATCGACAATATTTTCTATAGAAATTATTATTATCGACAATATTTTGTAAGGAAATTATTGTTATGGACAATATTTTCTATATCAAAATCGTGTTATTGGCAATATTTTCTATCGAAGTTGTAGTTATCGACAATAATTTCTATCGAAATTATTGTTATCAACAATATTTTCTATAGAAAATCCTGCTAACAACAATACTTTTTGTAAAAAATACTGTCATCGACAATATTTTCCATAGATAATCTTGTTATGGACAATATTTTCTATAGAAAATCTTGTAATCGGCAACATTTTCTATTGAAAATCTTGGTTTGTCTCTATATCATGTTATCGACATTATTTTCAATTGAAAATTCTGCTATCAACTATATTTAACATTGAAAATCCTGTTATCGACATTATTTTTTATGGAAAATCTTGTTATCGACACTATTTTCTATGAAAATAATTAATATCGACAATATTTTCTAAGAAAATAGTTGTTATCGACAATATTTTCTAAGAAAATAGTTGTTATCTACAATATTTTCTAAGAAAATAGTTGTTATCGACAATATTTTCTAAGAAAATAGTTGTTATCGACAATATTTTCTAAGAAAATAGTTGTTATCGACAATATTTTCTAAGAAAATAGTTGTTATCGACAATATTTTCTAAGAAAATAATTGTTATCGACAATATTTTCTAAGAAAATAATTGTTATCGACAATATTTTCTAAGAAAATAATTGTTATCGACAATATTTTCTAAGAAAATAATTGTTATCGACAAGTTTTTCTATGAAAATAATTGTTATCGGCAATATTTTCTATAGAAAATCCTGTAATCAGCAATATTTTCTAAAGAATTCTTTTTATCGACATTTTTGATGAAATTTCCTAAATTATTTCTATATTCTTGTTATCGGCAATATTTCTTATTGCAAAACAATTTATCGACTTAAAAATATATTTTGTTGTTGGCTGGAAATTTGTCAAGCTAAAAAAAAGCTTTCATGCTTAAGCATACTAAATCCTTCTTCAGCAAAAACATTCAAGCAAATAATTTGCCATTGAAAGGAAATGCAACGTGATGTTGTTCGGAATGCATACAAACACCGGATGTGGTAGGAGTAACAAAGAAACAAAACCAAAAAAAAAAACGGTATTCTATAAATTGCAGACAATCATGCAATCATGTCGTTTAATATCTGCAGCCAAGCCATTCCTTCCTTCCTCGGTTAACTTGGCTGCCATATTAGATAGATGGGACTGGAACAGGAATTCAGTAATCCGGCCAATACGTTTACAACGATACTACCACGGGCGTGAGGGGAGTGTTGTGTTTTGTTGCAAGCGTTCTGTGTTAATTTCCAGTAAATCTAGTTACGTAGTAACAACGTCATTCAACAGACTGACACACAGCAAGGACAGTGCGACGATATGTCTGCCAGAATGTTGTAACAAAATGTTTAGAAACCTCGTATCGTCGCATCAAATGTGACGCGTGTCTGGAAATAAATGCGACAGTGGATAGGAGAAAAAAAAAAGAAACAACGAATTGGTGATGTCGTCAATTGGCCAACCAGTATTCTCGAGTTTGCTATGAAAATTCAATAACGCAAATTTCTTCAATTCAATATTTGTTCGTAAACTTTTTTCTCGGTTTCTCCGAAACGAAAGAAACTTGCTAGTTAAAAATTCAATAAGAATTAAATTAATTAACTTTTGAGGCCAGCTGTTCGTAAAGAGAGAAAAGTTGAAAGTATTTTTGTATTGAACCACAATATGTTACACATACACATACTATATTAATGGTAACATATTGTTATTGGTGTATTGGAAGTTATTTCCTCTAGGGGGCGGACACAATAAAAAAGTTTTTAAATCGCATTAGGTTTGCAACAAGTTGTCAGGACTATTTTAAAGTTATTTAATTAAGTTAAAAGTGAGGGTAGGAGTAAGTGGAGTTTTTCATTATTAGTTGTATTACACCTTTCTTATGGCACAATATATATATAATACCCTAAATAAAAAGTTCAATATCGATAACACAATAAAATGCTGCTGTATACATAAATTTCTGTAGAAACTCCGTTTATTGAATAAAACGTCTTTACAAAAACTTAATATTGTAAATATTGTCGAAACTATTGTTGTAAAAAATATTAATATGGACAATATTTACTGTAGGAAATCAAGTTATAGAAAATATTTCCTATAGAAAATATTGTCATCGACAATGTTTCGTATGGAAAATCATGTTATCGAAAATATTTTTTAAAGAAACTCTTGCTATCGACAATGTTTCCTACGGAAATTATTGTTTTCTATTGAAAATCATGTTATCGAAAATATTTTTTCTAGAAAATCTTGCTATCGACAATATTTTCTAAAGAAAATTTTGTTATCGACAATATTTTCTATAGAAATTATTGTTATCGACAATATTTTCTATAGAAATTATTGTTATCGACAATATTTTCTATAGAAATTATTGTTATCGACAATATTTTCTATAGAAATTATTGTTATCGACAATATTTTCTATAGAAATTATTGTTATCGACAATAATTTCTATAGAAATTATTGTTAGAAATTATTGTTATCGACTATATTTTCTACAGAAATTATTTTTATCGACAATATTTTCTATAGAAATTATTGTTATCGACAATATTTTCTATAGAAATTATTGTTATCGACAACATTTTCTATAGAAATTATTGTTATCGACAACATTTTCTATAGAAATTATTGTTATCGACAACATTTTCTATAGAAATTATTGTTATCGACAACATTTTCTATAGAAATTATTGTTATCGACAACATTTTCTATAGAAATTATTGTTATCGACAACATTTTCTATAAAAATTATTGTTATCGACAATATTTTCTATAGAAATTATTGTTATCGACAATATTTTCTACAGAAATTATTGTTATCGACAATATTTTCTATAGAAATTATTGTTATCGACAATATTTTCTATAGAAATTATTGTTATCGACAATATTTTCTATAGAAATTATTGTTATCGACAATATTTTCTATAGAAATTATTGTTATCGACAATATTTTCTATAGAAATTATTGTTATCGACAATATTTTCTATAGAAATTATTGTTATCGACAATATTTTCTATAGAAATTATTGTTATCGACAATATTTTCTATAGAAATTATTGTTATCGACAATATTTTCTATAGAAATTATTGTTATCGACAATATTTTCTATAGAAATTATTGTTATCGAAAATATTTTCTATAGAAATTATTGTTATCGACAATATTTTCTATAGAAATTATTGTTATCGACAATATTTTCAATAGAAATTATTGTTATCGACAATATTTTCTATAGAAATTATTGTTATCGACAATATTTTCTATAGAAATTATTGTTATCGACAATATTTTCAATAGAAATTATTGTTATCGACAATATTTTCTATAGAAATTATTGTTATCGACAATATTTTCTATAGAAATTATTGTTATCGACAATATTTTCTATAGAAATTATTGTTGTCGACAATATTTTCTATAGAAATTATTGTTGTCGACAATATTTTCTACAGAAATTATTGTTGTCGACAATATTTTCTATAGAAATTATTGTTGTCGACAATATTTTCTATAGAAATTATTGTTGTCGACAATATTTTCTATAGAAATTACTGTTGTCGACAATATTTTCTATAGAAATTATTGTTGTCGACAATATTTTCTATAGAAATTATTGTTGTCGACAATATTTTCTAAAGAAATTATTGTTGTCGACAATATTTTCTATAGAAATTATTGTTGTCGACAATATTTTCTATAGAAATTATTGTTGTCGACAATATTTTCTATAGAAATTATTGTTGTCGACAATATTTTCTGTAGAAATTATTGTTATCGACAATATTTTCTATAGAAATTATTGTTATCGACAATATTTTCTATAGAAATTATTGTTATCGACAATATTTTCTATAGAAATTATTGTTATCGACAATATTTTCTATATAAATTATTATTATAGACAATATTTTCTATAGAAATTATTGTTATCGACAATATTTTCTATAGAAATTATTGTTATCGACAATATTTTCTATAGAAATTATTGTTATCGACAATATTTTCTATAGAAATTATTGTTATCGACAATATTTTGTTGTCTATAGAAATTATTGTTATCGACAATATTTTGTTGTCTATAGAAAATCTTTTAATCGAAAATATTGAAATCTTGATATCGACAATATTTTCTGTAGAAAATCTTGATATCGACAATATTTTCTATAGAAAATCTTGTTATCAACAATATTTTTTATAGAAAATCCTGTTATCGACAATATTTTTTATAGAAAATCCTGTTATCGACAATATTTCCTATAAAAAATCCTGTTATCGACAATATTTTCTATAGAAATTTTTGTTATCGACATTATTTTCTATAGAAATTTTTGTTATCGACATTATTTTCTATAAAAAATCTCTTTTTAAACAATATTTTTCAAATACTGTTATCGACAAGATATTGCAATGAACAATATTTTCTATCGAAAATCGTGGTTTTGACAAAATTTTCTATGGAAAATATTGTTGTTTACATTTATTGTTTTCCATGAATTGTTAAAACTTTATTTCCAATATTTTCTTTAACTGCTTCAACACTTTCACCCCATTTATTATAATAACAAGTGGCAAAAAGAGAGAATGAAAACGAAACAATATAATTCTAATAAGAAAATCCCATTATTTAGAGCAACAATTTCCATCGCATTTCACTTCGTTTTCCATGCCAGTAATTCCATCAGCAGTCGTGTCAGCGCCCATCATCGTCATCATTGTGCGAGCGACAAATTGTATTTTTATTATTTTAAGTATTGATCTAATTTTTATAGTCATCAAATGCTATTTATTTTATTTTTCTCTCCCCCGCTCGATATGCATTTCCCTTCAACCTTTTGTGTACTTTCTCTCATCTTTCTTTTTTCCTCCGCAGGCATCATCAATCGTGGTGACTCCTTTCGTCGACGCCGTTCACGCAGCAATAGTTTGGCGCCCGTCAGTCCCATCCATCCACGCATCGGAGCTTTGGCCGGCTGTACAGACATGGATATGCAGGAGGGTGTCAATTCACATCCACCCGTGGATGTCTATCATGTCGAGATGTTGGGAGCGGCGGGCTCCGGCAAACAGTCATTAGTTTCACAATTTCGCACTTCAGACTGTATTAATGCATACGATGGACCAGGTAAAGTGAAAATATTACGAAATGAAAAAAGAAAAACTAACACTCACACCCAAACACACAGCAAGGGAGAGAGAGAGAGGGAGAGAGACTTACTCATAGACCCATTTGCATGATGAGGCCATGTAAAAAGTTATGGGGGCTGTTCTCTCAAAAGAAATAGGATAATCATAACCGTGTTGGTGGCGGAGGTGGTATATGAATCGGTGAATTATGACAGGGTGGGGAGTGAGGGGAAAAACGTAATATATATTTTTTATAAAAGTGTAAATACGTCTCGCTGATTAAGAATGGGCGTTAAGTTATTCACATTCATTGCCAGAGCTCAAAAGGTAGAGAAACAAACAAAGCAGGAAATAGAAACTAACGATGTTTGTCAAGATTCTAAAGTGAAACTGTCCTAGACTCAAAGGAGGTGCATTTCTAAGTGTTTTGAAAATAACGCAACTGTTTTGAAGATTTTGCTTTAATTATATTAAATAGAAGATTTATAACTATAACTAACTTAAATGGGTATTTACACCCTCAGCCATATGGCTAGAGAGGGTATATATCATTTGATTCAGCCAAAATGTAACTTATCGAAATAACGGTTTTAGACCCTAGGTCTCTTTTAATCAAATCCAATTCATGGAATTTGGATAAGGTCTAGCGATGTCCGTCCGCCTGTCTGTCGGACCATTACATCCCCACAAAAGGTCAAAATAAAAAAAAAAAAAAAAAAAAAAAAAACAAATAAAAAAGCAGTATGTTCGGCCGGGCCGGACTTTGAATGCCCTCCACCATTTGGAACGAATTAGGAAATTTTCAAAAAGAATAAAATCCATAAAAATTTTGTTAAAATCTTAAAAATACCGAATATCGAAAGGTGCCGATATATTGGGGGGATATACGATATTGTGGACCTATAAACCCAAATCTATGTCTGGTTGTGAAGTACTCACAAGGAACTTCTTGTGTGGAATTTCAGACAATTCCATTGAGAAATTTGGCTAAAATCATCAAAATAACGAATATCGGAGGGTACCGTTATATTGGGGATATACGATATCGTACACCTATATAGAAAATTCTCTTTAAGGGGTAAAGTGCTCACAATGAACTTTTTGTGTGGAATTTCAGACCATTCCATTGAGAAATTTGGCTGAAATCATCAAAATACCGAATATCGTGGGGTACCGTTATATGGGGGCTCTGCGATATCGTGGACCTATATAGACAATTCTCTTTCAGGGTGTAAAGTACTCACAAGGATCTCCTTGTGTGGAATTTCAGACAATTCCATTGAAAAATGTGGCTGAAATCATCAAAATACCGAATATCGTGGGGTACCGTTACATGGGGGCTATACGATAACGTGGACCTATGTAGACAATTCTCTTTCAGGGGGTAAAGTACTCACAAGGATCTCCTTGTATGAAATCTCAATTCCATTGAAAAATTTGGCTGAAATAATCAAAATACCGAATATCGGGGGGTACCGTTACAAACGGAATGACGAACTTAATATACCCTCCATACTATGTATGGTGGAGGGTATAGAGAATATTTTACTGCACAGAAGGAGAAAGGATAATCCGATTTTACTGCAACATTTTTCAAATCCTAATATTTTCTTCAGTGCTAGGTCAGGTGCCAAAATGGACAATACCGGCCCACTCCATCAAGTACCTCCTCCAAAGGGGGGAAAACATTTTGAATAATTATAACTCTTAATAACTGTGATCCAAGAGTCCAAGTGTGAAGATGGAATATATCGGTCCACTCCTTCTAGTACCTCCCCCACAAGGGGTCAAACCCACAAGGGTTTGAATATCCATGAAGCTCATAAAATGCCAAATTAAGATTCGATTCCATTCAGACTTGGTACATCTCAATATTTCCTTCAACACAAGATATGTTGTAAAGATGGTAGAGATCGGACCATTCCTTCTGGTACCTTCCCCACAAAGTTCAAAGTTTTGAATACCCAAAACGATTATTAAATGCGAAATAAGCATCAGGTTCTCTTTATATTTCTCACTTCCCATTATTTCCGCTAACAAAAGATTTGTTGTGATGATGGGTTATATCCCTTTCCTTTTCGTACCTTTCTTTTCGTACCTCTCCCACAAGAGGTCAAAGTTTTAAATATCCATGAAGCTCATAAAACGCCAACTTAAGATCCGATTCCATTCAGACTTGGCACATCTAACCATTTGTATAAAAAAAGATCTGTTATAACAATGTTAGGGATCGGACTATGCCTTCTGGTACCTCTCCCACAAAGGGTTTGGTACCTCACGCACTTTTTAACATTTTCTAAAAATTGTCACATATCTCATATAAAGTGAAGGAAGTAACCAATATAGTCCAAACCTGGCACGTCGAAATATTTATAGCATATGTATTTAGTTCCGATACGAAAAAGACAATGTTGATCCATTCCTGCGGACCCTCTGTGGTCAAAAGTTTGAATAATCGTAACATCTGTCGGCAAAACCGACCAATACATTTTAACTTGTTATTATTTAGAAAATATCATGACAGATGGACTTCGTCATATAGCTAAGTTCATCGCCGATGACTTTTCTGCCATGGAGACAAAATGAAAAGGTCATCTATTGGTGGTATCATTTAAAAATAATTAATGACTTTTTTAAGCCTTTATATAGGAAGAAACTATATAAAATACTCTATATAAAATTCAAGGCTTCAAAAGAATCTTTATCCGAATATCAGACAATTTAGAAAAGGGGAAACTATTAAGTTTATTTGTATTCTATTTTAGACCCACATTCATAATCTGCTGTATTTTTTGTGAGTTTCCATTAATATTTTCTTAACGTACCTACCTAAAATAACTACATTTTATTTTTTTTTTTCCTCTTTCAGAATGTGACGAAAATGAACAAAATATTTCAATTATTTTAAATAACATTGAATCGGAATTGAAATTTAGAATAAATCAACGTGAAGCAAAGGTAAGCTTATAAGATAAATAAAATGTAATTCTTTTTAAAAATTTGCCAGTCAGCCAGCTATTTCCACCACCCTTCCAAAAAACATTGAAACTATTTTCTTTTTAGTTTCCCTCAATGATGCTAATTTTGTATGATTGACATACATATATAGCTAGACATCTTGTCATTGTGATTTGGGGACAAAACACCTACATACATATAAATGTCAGCATTAATATATTTTTAATTACTGTGTTTGTGTTACACAAACACGTAAACACACATATATATATAGCTATATGCATAATCGAAATACCAGTAGTATATTTATGATGACAGCGCATATAAAAAAATATAAAAAATTAATTGTTAAAATGGATTTAAATGTGTTCATCGAATTTGTATGGCGATAAATTTTAAATTTATGTTTTTTCGAGGAATTAAAAATAATGAAAAACATATATATAAATAATTTTAATAGCCTAGTTTGTTTACATTTCGTTTTGAAGGAGAAACTATTTTAGTATTGGAATAATACAATATTGTCTATGGAAAATCTTGTTATCGACAATATTTGCTATAGAAAATCTTGTTATAGGCAATATATTCTATAGAAAATCTTGTTATCGACAATCTTTTCTATAGAAAATCTTGCTATCGACAATATTTTCTATTTAAAATCTTGTTATCGACAATATTTCCTATTGAAAATCTTGTTATCGACAATATTTCCTATAGAATATCTTGTCATCGACAATATTTTCTGTAGAAAATCTTGTTATCGACAATATTTTCTATAGAAAATATTGTTATCGACAATATATTTTCTATAGAAAATCTTGTTATCGACAATATATTTTCTATAGAAAATCTTGTTATCGACAATATATTTTCTATAGAAAATCTTGTTATCGACAATATATTTTCTATAGAAAATCTTGTTATCGACAATATATTTTCTATAGAAAATCTTGTTATCGACAATATATTTTCTATAGAAAATCTTGTTATCGACAATATATTTTCTATAGAAAATCTTGTTATCGACAATATATTTTCTATAGAAAATCTTGTTATCGACAATATATTTTCTATAGAAAATCTTGTTATCGACAATATATTTTCTATAGAAAATCTTGCTATCGACAATATATTTTCTATAGAAAATCTTGTTATCGACAATATTTTCTATAGAAAATCTTGTTATCGACAATATTTTCTATAGAAAATCTTGTTATCGACAATATTTTCTATTGAAAATCTTGTTATCGACCATACTTTCTATTGAAAATCTTGTTATCGACAATATTTTCTATGGAAAATCTCGCTATCGACAATATTTTCTATTGAAAATCTTGCTATCGACAATATTTTCTATCGAAAATCTTGTCATCGACAATATTTTCTGTAGAAAATCTTGTTATCGACAATATTTTCTGTAGAAAATCTTGTTATCGACAATATTTTCTGTAGAAAATCTTGTTATCGACAATATTTTCTGTAGAAAATCTTGTTATCGACAATATTTTCTATAGAAAATCCTGTTATTGAAAATATTTTCTATAGAAAATCCTGTTATCGACAATATTTTCTATAGAATATCCTGTCATCGACAATATTTTCTATAGAAAATCCTGTTATCGACAATATTTTCTGTAGAAAATCCTGTTATCGACAATATTTTCTATAGAAAATCCTGTTATCGACAATATTTTCTATAGAAAATCCTGTTATCGACAATATTTTCTATAGAAAATCCTGTTATCGACAATACGAAGAGAACCGGATTTTTATTTCGGATTTTACGACCGCTTTGGTTATTCATAACATTGGCCCTTTGTGGAGGAGGTACCAAAATAAATGGTCCGATCTATACCATCTTTATAACAGACCTTGTGTTAATAGAAATATTGAAATGTGGCAAGTTTAAATGGAATCGGATAATAATTTCGCGTTTTATGAGCTTCTTAGATATTCCAAATTTTGACCCTTTTGTGGGGGAGGTATCCGAAGGAGAGAACTGATGTATCCCACATCACACCAGATCTTGGGTTTATAAAAATACTGTGATGTGTATAATTTGAAGACAATCGGACACTTACAACACAGTAAATTATATATATATTTTGTTAATTTCCACCTTTGGTGAGGGAGGTACCAGAAGGAGTGCACCGATATTGCCCTACTCTAAACTCGGTCTAAGCGTAATAGTAATATTACGACATATCAAGTTTAGACCACATCGAATACTCCTTTCGAGAGTTATCCAGCCAGAGAGAGACATACAGACGAACGGACGGACATCGCTAGATCGACTTCAAATGTCCTGAAACGGATTTGGTCCAAAGAGACCTAGGGTCTATGAGATGAGACATATTTTGATCGTATCAAATTATATATACCCTCTCTAGCCATATGGCTAAGGGTATAATAAGAGAAATATTTTGGTAAAAAATTGTAATCCTCAAGTAAGTCAACAAAGGGATCTCTTTTGTCCTTTTTTAAATATGGTTAAAAACTTCCTTTAAACGGGATCGTAATAAGTCAAAATATTCTACAAAATTATTTATCATAAAATTCTACCATATTTCCTAGAAGACGTTAATAGTCTAAATCTTATCTAAACGCCAGGAATTTTATATACGTTAAAAACACATTTTAGGGTTAAAGCCGTACTTCATGAGAATTGATGCAACATTCTCTTACAAAGCGTCATTTTAGAATAAAGACGTCAAACACAAAAATATTCTTCATCAAATTTTAAAAAAAGAAATCTCTACTTCAATCATAAATTATGTGAAGTAAAAATGAAAAAAAAAACCGAAAATATTTCTTAATTTTTCTGATCAACTTTTTCTCGGCATTTTTAGAGTTGAGGCATAAAATAACATAAAAATTAGTTTTTGGCCAGAAAGTGTTGGTAGAATAAATATTATACATCTTAGGATACATTTTTCTGATCTACCTCGAAGAATGTATCCAAAATTGTCACCGCAGTGAACACGATTTTATTTAGCCCGATGAGCATTTAAATATTTTCCATTCAGAACTTACGTCAATCGCCCTACGAAATAATTTCCCATTTATTTTCTGCCCACCCGGTTGCCACCTATAAAAAAGGGAAAATCTAAAAAAAGTCATTATATCTACAGCAATTTGCAATAAAATCTCTATTCCCTAGCCGGCACACATTCCGTGTAAACTACCGGTCTACATGTCTCTATTTGTTGTTGCTGTTGCTGTTGTAAAATATTCATAATTTTTCCAAGTGATGAATATTACCCAGGTTTTAGTTAGTGCAGCAGCAGGGTATTTTAATTGTTATTGTCTTTGTTGTTGTTGTCAGCAACCGTCCTTTCCTGTCCATTATTTGTTTGCACTGAACTTTTTGTTCGCATTTGGCCTCAAGCCAATTGTGATATTTCTGCTCTGTTGCGAGCAAACAAACAACAACAACAACAAGTGAAAATTGTTGGTCATATAATCGGAAAATATAAAGAAAAACAAATAATAATAATAATTGTAATTTTTGTGATGGAAACATTTTGTTTTACATCTAACGGTGTTTTGTTTTTATGTTGTTAAGGTATAGTCAGGTAATATGGGTTCGAGTCTTTGCAGAGTTGTAATGGATTATTAAAGATTAATTTTTTAACATATAATTACACTATGGCACACAAAAAATAATTGCAGGAAACACCTAGTAGAGCTAAACCAGTAAGGAAAGGTCAAAAGTCTGGCGGGGCTGACTATATAATACCCTGCACCGCTATGCGTATTTAGTAGAACTCCCGTAACAGAAAAAGTTTATATTGGGAATTTAGATCATACCAACTAAGAACATTATTTGAATGCGTATCATGACCCTAGAGTAGTCACAATTTGGGAACTATATCCAATTCTAAATCGATGTCCAAAAAATTTAACGGAGGCTTTTGTACCCCAAGTACCAAATAATATTATTGTATGTTGTGCATGATATGACTTTGATAAGAATTATTTAAAAAAGCATTTATTGGAGCAATAGATATACCAGAGCGAGTTTCACCAAATGGAAAAATTCGGTTGAATATGAAACAAGTCAAAAAGCAGTAAGTTCGGCCGGGCCGAACTTTGAATACCCTCCACCATTTGGAACGAATTTGGAAATTTTCAGAAAATAAAATCATTAAAACATTCTGTTAAAATTTTAAGAATACCAAATATAGCCGTTATATTGAGGTGTATACGATGTGGGCCTACATAGGCATTGTTTGTCATAAGCCATTACCATATTCAAATTCGAAACTTGAAATAAACGGTGATTAATGTTGCTAAAATCATCAAAATATCGTATATAGGGAGGTACCGTTACACCGGAGCTGTGCGAAGACCTGGACCTGCATAGACAATTTTCTGTCACAGGCTGTAGCATCCATTACGAACTTCAAATACCACACCTCAAACAATTTCGGTGAGTATTGTACCTAAAATCGTCAAAATACCGAATATAGGGATGTACTGATATATGGGGCCTATACGAAGACCTGAACCAGCATAGACAATTTTCTGTCTTAGGGTGTAGAATCCAATTCGAACTTCAAATACCAAATGTGAAACAATTCCGGTGTATAATGTCGCTAAAATCATCAAAATACCGAATATAGGGGGGTACCGTTATATGGGGGCTATACGAAGACGTGGACCTGCACAGACAATTTTCTGTCTTAAGCTGTAGTATCCATTTCGAACTTTAAATACCAAATATGAAACAATTCCGGTGAATAATGTCGCTAAATTCATTAAAATACCGAATATCGGGAGGTACCGTTATATGGAGGCTATATGAAGACGTGGACCTACATGGCCCATTCACGAACTTAATCTGCCTACTGGAAAAATAAACATGTGTGCAAAATTTTAACCATCTATCTCAACAGACAGACAGACAGACAGAAGGACAGACAGACAGACAGACGGACATGGCTAAATCGTCTTAGAATTTTACGCTGATCAAGATTATATATACTTTGTCGGGTCTG